CAGCTGACAGACGCCAGCATATGACGTCATCCGTCCTCTGCGGTCATGATGGGCAGCACGTGATCCAACCCACGGAGTGAGGAAGCCCCCTCATCAGTCGCGGCAGACGGGTGATTTTCCGCCCCCTGCTTTCGGGATCGGAAGCGGGCAGCGCACACTGGTCGGAAACGCCCTCACGAGAGGCCACGGGCGATTCCGGAGTTTCGGATTATTTTTTATATAGATCGATTTGAAACTGATCAAATTATTATACTTCGGCCAAAAAAACTAATCCGGGTGACCAAAAATAACTGTAATCAGCCCCCGAAGATGGGGTATCCCAGAACTCGGAAACTGACGCGGAGCAAGAGGTTTCTTGAGCCGGATATTCAGAGTCTTATTGCTGATAGACACCAAATTGAATTCCCACATATTATGCATCAAAATGTTCCTTATGAAGTTGCCGACTGGTCAGTGCAAAATTTTTGGTATACTTTTTCCCTAACTAAGATTTACTGTAGCTTTTTTATGAAGGCTCTCCTACAGTGATTCTGGAATATAACTGCAAAGTTTAGGTAAGAAAACAACAGGTAGTCCCATCTAGTTCCACTCTGATTTTTTGTGAGATGAAGCAGGATTTAAATTTACACCAGGGCAACATAAAAGCTAACTGCGCATATTTGCGCAAAATTTGCAGGAGCCGCTCTTGCTACCCAACTACCGCCCGCCCCGCCCCAGTTTCGGCTCGGCCGCCGCGCCCGGCTTACGCTGACCTGTGTGGCCTGCACGCATCCATGCGTAGTTGACTGGTCATTAAAAACAGATGCGCTTGAGTTTATGAATTTTGTGAAAAGCGCGTTTTATGTATGCATTTATGTATGTATTGACATCAAAAGCCTTCCACATATTGCGTGGCAATTACGACTTGCATTTAGAGAGCCTTGCTATTGACAACCATCACTCGGCTAAAGAAAGTGGAAATTGAAACCTTCGTGAATATAAGACGCTGCAAATATAGGACACCTGCCACTGACGTCGGGTTATCTTGGGCCGTCTTTTTGCATTAGATCACAATTCCGGTATTTAACCCTGGCCGGACCGATTTGTTTTCTTTATTGACCGGGGAAGGTTGGATCAATTCCCTCGCCGTTTCGCCTCTAATTGAGCTAGAGCCTCGCGGAAAAAAGAGCTTGTGTGCCGTTATGAGACGCAACAATTAGGTACTACCCGTTTTAAGGTCTTAGGTCAGCCAGTGACCTCTTAGGTCAGGTAAGTGCCACAAGGCACGGGCTCGGTTTAAGGTTAATTACTTTGCCAGAAATGGCCGCACTGCCGCGATTTTGGCATCATCGTGTTTGTCTAGCTCAGGCGCGTTGAATGCTATACTTGGTGTTCGGGTGAAGTCAACTTAAGGTGTTAACCTTCCAGGCGGTGGGGGGCATTTTTTTTGCCCCCCCCCCCTTTAGTTGTTTTCAATATATCTCGAGAACCGCTGCGCCGATCGTCACCAAACTTTCCGTACCCTCCCGGGAGTAGCTAGCGCACATGGCGACCAAAAATTTTTCCAAAGGCTATGATAGGTTGGCCGCTAATGACGTCAGAGTGACGTCATTTTTGCCATTTTCGACCCAAAAAAAGGTTTCGCGGGAAGAGCTGTCAGGCCTACCGCTTTAGAGAAACAGAAAAATGTTCCAGACATAAAAGGTGTGGAATCAAGAGGGCTACAAAACTGCTATTTCGGTTTTTCGAATTTTTTGGATTTTGACCCCCAAAAATCAAAAAATAGAGTTTTTGAAAATAATAGCCGAAAAATCCAAAGAGTTTTTTGAATTTCAAAAAAAACGGATTATAATTATGTGATAGTCCCTACCGTCTTCTATCTACATACCAAATTTGAGATCAATACCTCTTTTTTAGGCCAAGTTATAGCGAAGAACTGTTCAAAATTGATGACGTCAAAATTTCAAACTCAATTTTTCTAGACCTCGTAGCGCAAAACAAAGACCACCATTAGACTCCCCGTTACGAGCTGCATCGAATCGATACCCATTTTATGCAAAAATATCAACTTTGAAATTTGACCTTTTTTTACCTGACCTTGACCTGACCTCCACCAGAAAGTGACCTAAACCGTACCTGATGGTCTTATAACCAATACCATTGAGTTGGAAATGAAAAACTGGCCATAAAACATGCATCGCACAACCTTAGTAAAGTTGGGTTCATGTGATGACCCTTGGTGACCTTTGGTGACCTGACCTGTGACCTGACCTGTAACGACCAGTGACCTCTAATAGCAACATATGTACTAGACAACTGACGCCTTATCGCTGATTTTCGACAAAATGCGTTTTACTCGGTGTTATAGCGCTTTCCCTAGAAGCCCCGTGAACGGTGAAACATTTTATCTTTGACCTGACCTGTGACGTCATCGGTGACCCCGAGGTCAATGAAATTTGGTTTCCTTCGACAAATTTGACAGGGCTATCGAACGCCGTTTGAATTTTCCGGATCCGTCCAGTAGTTTCGGAGATACGAGGGGGGCAAAAAATGCCCCCCCCCCCCCCACCGCGCGGAAGGTGGCTGGGAGGTCCACCGCCTGCCGGGTTAACCTCGGGTCAATCGGGTCATCTCAGGTCACGAAAATGGTTGAAGGAGGTCATATCGCATATCATTCGATTCGGCAGGTCTTCCTGAGTCCAATGGTGGCTTTCCCGACTCTCTAGCTCCATCTGATCAGGAGTTATTGACGAAAAACTTATATGGCCTTGGTGACGTCATAAATGACGTCACGCAAAGTCAACAATGCTAAAGTGAAGCACTGGACCTTGCAAGGAGTGTATGAAACCATTCCCGGTGCCCGAATAGCAGCTCCCAATTTCCCTTGTTGACTTATAGTGGTGCTAGATCCTGTATTATACTCAATTATGACGTCATAACTTAACAGATTCACGTCATATATTTAGTGCTTGACATCCAAATGATAGCTTACATATGACAGAGAGGTATGCAAAGTTTTATGAAATTTGCTTCACTAGTTGTGGAATAACAAGCAAAAAACTTTTGCGGAAAGGCCGCTGGCCTCTCGCTGGAGCGTTTCCGACCAGTGTGCAGCGTGGCGGAGTTACGCTGGCAGCGTGGCGGAGTTACGCTGCCCGCTCCAACCGTTTGATGGGGTAACGGCCGCGGCAGGGCGCAACAGGCCGCGTGTCGTCACAGCGGAGCGTGACCTCCCTCCCTCTGTGACTGTCGGGTGTCCAAAGCCATGTCTGCTTTACAGAGATCGCTGCCCGTGTGGGACCGATTGGCTTCTTCCATTACCAGCGGGGTAACAATTGGCCGGTGGGATGGGCCTGTGACCTTTTGGCCGCTGCCGCTTAACTAGTTCAATTTATCTTGAAATTGTATCGTTTTTTTTCCTGCAGAGGGCAAAAAACTGCAATAATGGACGATGTTTGCGGACAGTTTTTCTGCAATAACTTTTGACTTCAACCTTGCAAGAGTCACTTTTGCCAGCATCGTGTTCCTCTTGTCAAAATGCATCGAACGAATTATAATTTGACCTAAAGGTTTACTTGAAAATTTGACCTTAGTTCAAGATCATGACCCGACCGGAAAAGGTCATTATGCATATCAGTCGATCCGTAACGTCTAGCTGAACACGTCTAAGGTGTTTTCATTACTCCAACATGTTTTTATGAGAAGTTATTTGCGAAAAACTGTTTGATACCATTCGTGATTTGATGTGACCTCAGGGGCATAAACAGTGGTCACGGCCCACGGGTGCCATTTTCATGTTCAGCGTGTCAAAGAATGGGGGCGGTGGCAAAATTGACCTGACCTTAGGTCGTCGATATCAAAATTCCGAGATTCTTATTTCGTACATAGGTACCTACCGTTGTCATTATCAATCTCTAAAAGTTTCAAAGCGATCGGTACTCGGTGTAGCTATGGCAGACTTCGAAACTTTTTATGAGGTGAGGTCACTTGAAGTGACCTGACCTGGTGACCTGACCTTGAATGACCTTGGCCTGAAATTTCCACAAAATGTGTAGAATCGATGTATGACAAAGTGTGCCGTTTTCTAAATATCTGTAAAAAAACAGGTGGGTGCTCAATCCCCCCCAGGAGGCCGCGGGAATAGATCTGACAACTCACTCTCCCCTACATTGTGTGGACTCGTGGTGAAGAGCCAGAAGAAGACCATCACCACTCACCACCACCTGATGCATGTGCATTTCGCTGACTGCTTCCCGAGCCGCTGCCCATTCAAGCTGTTTCTGACTAATGGACCAGAGGTACTTACATACAGTCTGCACTCTGCATCACGAATATGGTCGCCCATCAGTGACTGCGGATTTACGTAACGAAGGATCATCATCAGTGATGCGTTGACGGGTGCATGCTGGCGTATGGCGGCTGGTGGCGGCTCTGATCGGTCGATTCGGTGAAGAGCGACGGCCCAGTATACTGAAACTGACCTACGGTACCGGAGCCGAACATTGCCTCACCGAAATTACGCACCGGTATTCACCATTGATGAGCAGCATTATACGCTCAGGTTTTGTCATAGCAGAATAATTCGACCTACACTAAGCCATGCATGACCTGTGAAAGCTCTGTGTGTAGGTGAAGAGAACTCCGTGGACCCATTTCCCGGTCGCTCTCCTCTCTTCCGGAACGCACCGTCATCCCATTGTGAGCAGCCACTCAACTGTCCTTTGTCCAAGGTCGGGACTGGCGAGCGTTCGTGGCCGCGCCCGACTTCACCCGATGTTTTGTCGGATTTCGGGTAGTCGAGGTCTGGGCACCGCGCGGGTCACAGCGCCTGCGGAGAGGCAGAGACAGGCGGCGACGGAGAGCTACAGGCGACAGTGCAGGCGACAGTATAAACTATAAGCGACAGTGCAGGTGACAGTGCTGACTTGAGTGCGTCCGAAGGGGAGGACAACGGCTACAGTGAAGCGGCAACCCGATATCATATCGGGCATTATCTGAAGGTATAGCTGTGGTATCCAGCCATGCCTACCTTCAAAGGTAAATGTTGGCATAACTCTAAGTTTCGAATGAACGCGAGTAAGTGTAATCGAGAATGAAAGTACACTAATAACGGCCTGGGAATAGACGGCATAAGCTAAATTTGAATAAAAAGTTGAAGTTGCAACTAAATCCCTATGCTATAGCGATAACGAATGCGATGCACAAATGCGTATGCCCTTCGTAACTCACAACATGCTACCAACGTCACTATTACGGTTGTTTATATTGACTTGCCTCAATAAAAGCCACACGGGTTTCAGGGCGATGGACACGCTTGAGAGGGTGCGGCGTGCGCACATCTTTTTCAGCCGTTTTATTATCGTTTAGGTTGGGCCTATTACCTACGAAATGAATGTTTGAATAAATTGTCTTCACGAGTGCTTTATTAGATTGGGTTTTGGGCGTGTAGATTGCTATGGTCAATTGCGTAGTCAAACGATCAGCACGTTTTTTTTTTTGATAGACTAGAAAATGTTATGTATACCGGCCATGCCTAAACATCTGTTTATCACCTCCAGGTCTCGGGCTGCTCTGCTCGGTACTGGTGACGTCGCGTCTCAGCTTCGCCGACAAGCTGCCGTCGGTGCCGACCGCTGCCGACAGCCTGTACTCGTACCTCCCTCCCCTTGAGGCTGACCCACCCGCACCGGACGGATTCTCCTACCTGGCTCCCGACAGCCCCTCTCCCTATGACGTCACCAGCGCCTCTCCCTATGACGTCATTAATCCTACCTCCTCATACACCTCCATCGGCCCGGAGCCGTCCCACGGCCCCGTCAGCCCAGCGGCGGTATACGCACAGGCGTCGAGCGGCGGTGGTCCCCTAGCGGTGACCCAGGAGGGTCGCCTGGAGGGGGTGACCCTGGAGGCGGCCTCTGGGGGTCAGGTGGACGCCTGGCTAGGAGTGCCGTACGCCAGCCCGCCAATGGGGGATCTACGCTTTCTGCCGCCGCAGCCCGTGGAGCCGTGGTATGGCGTCAGGGAGGCCAAGAGCCAGCCAAACGCCTGCTGGCAGGTGAGGTGGCTTTGCGACCCGGCGAGGAGCGTGAGGTGCATCTGGCATTCTTTTAGAAAAGAACGTTTCCGGACTTTTCCTTTGCACATGTGCTGATGGTTGTGCCTTTCTACGATTTTACCGTTTCAATAGACGATCGATAAAACACAATCAAACCGATTTCACGTTTAAATAATTGCGTATGATTTACTTCACGTTATGTGTACTTATACAACTGCCCCATGCTTTCAGGTGAAGGACACGTTTTTCGGCGATTTCACTGGCGCCACGCAGTGGAACGCCAACACGCCGCTCAGCGAGGACTGCCTGTACCTAAACGTGCATGTGCCGCACTACCGGCCGGCTCGTCCGGCGGCCGTGCTCGTCTGGATCTACGGCGGCGGGTTCTACAGCGGCTCGGCGGCGCTGGACGTCTACGACCCCACGGAGCTGGTGGCCGCCGGTGGGGTGGTCGTCGTCGCTATGCAGTACCGTGTCGGCTCTCTTGGCTTCTTGCGGCTCGGCGACGCGCCGGGAAACGTTGGCCTGCTGGATCAGGCGGCCGCGCTGCGATGGGTACAGAGGAACGCTGCAGCGTTCGGCGGAGATCCCAACCGTGTGACGCTGTTCGGAAACTCGGCCGGCGCGGCCAGTGTCAGCCTGCACCTGCTGTCGCCCGTCTCCTCGCCGCTGTTCCGCCGCGCGGTGCTCCAGTCCGGCTCCGCCACCAACCCGTGGGCGGTGCAGGAGCCTTCCGAGGCCTACCGGCGCGCACTGCGGCTGGCTGATGAGGTCGACTGTCCGGCAGCCTCAGATGACCAGGCGCTGACCTGTCTCAGGGAGATCGACCCCGAGACGCTCGTCAACTCGGAGTTCTTCACCACGGCGTTCGCCGACTTTCCGTTCGCGCCGGTCGTGGACGGGGAGTTCCTTCTGGAGGATCCCGCTGCCGCGCTGGCCGGGGGCCGCTTCAAGCCTGCCGACCTGCTGGCGGGCACCACCTCTGAGGAGGGCAACTACTTCCTGTTGTACGCCCTTCCAGAGTACGCCAACCTGAGCGCGGTGCGCACCCCCGATCGCTCAGATCTGACGCGCTATACGGAGGTTCTGAACGGTGACCTCTCGCCGGCGGCGAGACTGGCCGTGGAACATTTCTACACCCCCTGGGGCGCTCCCGACCAGTCAGCCGCCATCCGGGACGCCGTGGACAAGATGGCCGGAGATCGCCAGTTTGCGTGCGGTGTCAACGACGTAGTGGCGGCGCACGCGCGGAAAGGGGGCGCGGTGTGGCAGTACCAGCTGCGGCAGAGGGCGCCCGGCTCCGTGTGGCCCCGCTGGAGCGGCGTGCTGCACGCGGATGAAGTGTTTTTCCTCTTCGGCGCCGCCCTCAAGAAGCCAGAGGAGTTCAGCAGAGAGGACGTCATCCTCTCCAAGCGGATCATTCAGTACTGGACCAACTTCGCCAAGACTGGGTATGTCCACTCTTCTCAGTAGATACTTCGACGGTGCTTATTTTGTTCAGTGTAAGTACATAATGTGAGCAATGTTTTTACGAGACAAACATATTTCGGTCTCGTTTCTATTTTAGGTACTGGCGATTCAGGTATGCACGTAGGGGAAGCCGGGGGAAGCCCGGCATAGTAAGCTCTTTTTCATTTTTATTACATACCATACGTGCTGTATAAAATGTTGATATCCTGTTAGCTAGCTAAGTTCATTGGCCGTGTTTTCCCAAAAATTCGGTTTCGTGGAATAAGTATAAGGTTGAGAAAATCGAGTTTTTAAAAAGTGTTGATTTTTCTGGGGTAAGCCCGGCATAGGGGTAACGCCGGCCACCTCCCCAGCGCTTTACAACGAGTTGATGAAACCATTATGTGTCTTCCAAACATTAACGGAAAGTGAAATATTAAGGTACTGATTAGCTCTGGACATCTTAGAGTTTATGTCACTACTGGTATTTTAGCTAGCGTCTACCACATATACAGTACAGGTCGATGAAAATCGTGATGCAAAATTGACAAAAAATGTGTATTTCAAAATTCCTTAAAATTTATTTTTCTTTTTACCTTAATGCATCATATTGCAAATCATTCGACTCGGCTGATGAAGAACAACACAACGACACCATTTTTGAAGCTCTAGCTTCATTGTCTGTCGCGTTATCTTTAAAAACGTAGTTTGACCCTAGTTGACCTTAAGTGACATGACTGGCTTTGTCTATGATAACATGTTTATTTTCGAAATTTATCTTTGATCTAGGTGTAAACCAATCCTGCTCAGTACCTATTATCTCATGGAAAACAGTGGTTTAGTGGCATTGCTCTCGGTTGGGGGTAAGCTTGGCCACTCGCCCGGGGTTACCCCAATGTGCTAATTTTTATTTTAGAACAGCGATATTCGAAAAAATGTCATACTTAAGCCAGTCTGCCTCGTCACCCCTCACTACAAACACTTAACCGGTCCTTACATAACATTCGTATAAATATTAGTACTGTATGGTATAACATTAACAGTGCACCATCTCTCACTTTTTAGCTAAAAACCCTTAAAATATCATTTTTGAGCTATAACTTTAACAATATGCAATTTTTGTTAGCCTTAACTTTTTGCTGGCGTTACCTTAGCTGCCACGCTGAAAGGACAAACAGTTGAGCATTTTATTGTGAATAATTTAGCCGGAAACGGGGTGGCCGGGCTTCCCCCGCGCCCGGGCTTCCCCCGGCTTCCCCTAATTCAGAAAGACATGTTTGAAGTGATGGTTGCTGAATGAATGTATGAATGAACGATTGATTGAATGAATGAATGAATGAATGAATGAATGAATGAATGAATGAAAGCATGAATTCAAGGTAGACGAAGTGATGAGTGCAACATCCCATCACAATTTATTTTCGTTGCCATCCGTACAAGCCAGCCACCTTCTCTTAGTTCTCAATTCTCACCCACCCATTGACTGACCTGACCTGACCTGACCTGACCCCTCTCCCATGTTTCAGGGACCCTAACTATTCCGGCGAGCAGTGTGTGCGCAGTCCGACCAGCCACGAGTGGCCCCTTTACGAGCCGGTCGGCCAGCGCTACATGGTCCTCTCACACTACGGCCCGGTCACCGGTCACGCGCTGCGGGTCGGCCCCTGCGCCCTCTGGAACCACCTCGTGCCGCGGCTCAACGACACGAGCGCCATCTGTGGCGAGGTGTAGGCGACCGCAGCGCCACCTCCTCCGGCGCGGCGAGGAGGGATACTAGCGGTACTTTCACAGTCGTAGATGGCGTATGCCTATCTAATAGGGTCTGTTCCCGTCGCTCCTCCCAAAAAATCTCGGATGAGGTTGGATGAGCTTGGAGGAGAGCCGTTTCAGAGGAGCCACGGGAACATTTTTGCGAGAAAATCAGCTGTTTGTGGGCTGTAACGGTCGGCGATTTATGGCGCGCAAACATAAATCAAGAGATACTAATCACTTTCTAATATAATAACCGTAGATTAATATCGAACATTGCTATTAAAAGATACCTCATCCTCATCGATCACTAAAATCATGTCCAGTCCCCTCAAATCTCATTTATAAACAATTCACATTTGTATTACGTGCGCCAGATATGTCTACGCAGAGCCTCCTCCAAAAATCCAACTTTCGTTTGGGATGAGGGAGGAGGCAAATAGTGGTGGTGAGATGCGGAATCAAGATGAGCTTGGAGGAACTTGGAGGAGCGACGGGAACGATTTTTTGAAACGGGAGGAGGTTAGAGGAGCTTGGAGGAGGTTGGAGGAGCGACGGGAACAGACCCTATGGCAGCATATCTCATCAGTCACTGGTACGTACACTGTAAACCAAATTGACAAGTCTTGTGTAATATAACCAATCATCTTTTGGTATGTTTACCAACTGATACTTTTTAAACAAGCCGTTGTCTGGTGCATTGCTTGTCAGGTGACAACTACGAGTCTAGTTACTATGCACACCAACTTCTCAGTATCCAGACCAACTCTACATTTGTTTCAACGTTTGTTTCTTAACCAGTTTTGGAAACTTGTTGCCGCATGGTTATTTAACCGGCGCCTAACTTGTACTGGTCAGCTGGTCAGCATACACATGGTCAGATGCGCCTATGACGTCAGACTTGGCGGACCAATCAGCGGTCGCCGCCCGCCGTTAGCGGGGTTTCGAACCAGCAGTTGTCGCGCGGCCGCCGTGCAGCCTGGGGCAGCGACGAGGGCTGTTCCAGCATTTGTGCAGTAAAAAGTGAAATCTGTGAACTGTGGTGTTCGTGCTGTGAGTGAGGCCCCCTCTGGCCTGCGGGACGCACTAATCGTGCCTATACCCGCGTTCGAGACGCCTCCCTTCCCCTGTGCGCGCAATGTAAGTGGGCCAGACCTGTGCATGCACATGTGAGCAGGTGTTTTGCGGTCGGTGTTTTTTATATATAAATACATTTATTTGCCTTTAATTCAACTCTTTGTATTTTTAACTTAACTGATGGACATATATGGGCTGTAAAAGCTAATCTGGTTGGCGATCATGATTTATTCGAATTATCTGCGTGATGGTGCAACTGCCATGATTGTTATGGTCAATGTTCAGGAAATATTCGTCATACGGGCATGTTATACTTTTGGCTTGATGCGGTGCACAAAACCATGTTCTTCCACATACGCAGCAGTTCTTGCTTCAACGACTTATATGCTGACGGTGCACGATAGGTATACCTACTGGGTATACCTACCTCATGCATTTACCACATCCATTCGAAAATATGCACTCGGAGTTGTCTCCAGTCAATAGTATTAATTACGTGACCGTAATAAATACTAATGATTCCAGAAACTTCCGAATGGATGTGGTGTATGCATTCATTGATTATATAACCCATCAGTTTCTTGTCAGCACTGCAAGCCTTTGAGCAATAACTGATGCCAGTCATGGTTTTGTGCACCACTTCCAGCCAAAAAATAACCTGTCCGTATAGAAAATATTTCCTGAATCAGTATCGTGGCAATTGAAAACGAACGCGAATCGTAAGTTCTTAAGGTTATCAACGCAAACAAAGCGATTGTTGACAAGTTCGAACAGAGCGTTAGTACACTTACTTGTTGACAATTTGTAAGCTAGCAATGCCCAGTCAAAGGCTAGTTCATCAACAAACCAGGGGTTGGTGAACCGACAAGGAAACGAATATGCCTATCCAGAAGTTGGTAGGTCCACAAGGCCCAGACTAGTACTCAACAAGGTGACGCCTATGCGAATTGGAACCAAACTTGTAGACAAACTGTTAGTTTGTTGGCCAACAAGCCTGGGGTTGGTGAATTGACAAGGTATCGACAAGGTGACGCCTATGCGAATTGGAACCAAACTTGTAGACAAACTGTTAGTTTGTTGGCCAACAAGCCTGGGGTTGGTGAATCGACAAGGTATCGACAAGGTGACGCCTATGCGAATTGGAACCAAACTTGTAACAAGGAGCCAACTTGTAGATTTGGTTTACAGTGTACGTACTGGTCCCATCATCGGTCAAAATGTCGATCATCCACGCTCAAAATGTCGCAGCGATAATTAATCAAAATATACTTCACCTAACTACCGACCTCATTCAGAGCTCGCCACAATCCCGTCAGCTTATCTCAGGGCTAGAGATTCCTGCTGCTGCGGACTACCTCTATCTCTGCTCAACGCAGCACTGTAAAGAAGAGTCCGATGCATACCCATTACCCACTTACATATGTCAACGCAGTGTTGGGAGTTTTGTCAGAGGGTTCGCCGATATTAGAACGGTGCTATGAACTATGAACTATGAACTATATACTATGTATACATACCTGTAGGTAGCCCTGGCGAAGTGCACACTTCGAGGTAAAATAAATGCCTATTTTCTACGTCTTTATAATGGCTTGTAACAACGATGAATGAAGTTTTCCATCGTCTAATAAAAGAATCCATTGTCGCAGCACATATCTTTTTGCCTACCTATGTAGATACTAGATAGGGTGGAACCTACGCAGTATTGACATATTCTTCGTCTGTAGTCTTACGTCTATGCGTTGCATCACCCGGCAATCATTTGTCAATGGTCTTTCCTTGTCTCCTAATTTCTAGTGAATTACCGGACTGCGTTTTAGAACGAAATAAGTACACGATTGAGAGTGTATGTGATTATAATAATGAGACCACATAATCACAAAGTATCAAAAGTGCAATGCGATTGACTTTTGGCATATTATGTTGCTGTTATATTTACCGATGTATGTAATGCAGGACATCATGTCGAAAGCAATACAGTATCAAAACGGAAACGTACTTTTTACTCGTTTCGCTAGACACGGTGTTTTGCCTAGTTACGTTATACGGAATGGACCGGAACGATATATAATAAACAGCGCACCGACGGGGTCTGCGCCAACTTTAACCCGACACGGGGGAAGTTGATCGCCCCCCCCCCCCCCCGTGAGATCTCGAGAACGAAGCAAGATAGCGACAAGCGGTATACGGCATGGGGTATACACGGACAAGATCTACCATTTTTACAAGATCATTTTCAGGTCAGGTCAAAGATGACGTCGTATCAATCAGATAGTAATAGCAATTACTAACATAGCATTCCCACTTACGAACGTAACCTTCCCATGCAAGAACGTAACACTGAAAGTAAGAACTAAGAACGTCATCAATGCCAGCCGGTTACTACTAACAACCGAATACCTCGTGGCTCGTCCACGCAGCCTCCCAAAAATGTGTCATCAAGTCAGACGGCACCGCTCACCTTTCACTCAGCCCATACAACGGATACGGGCAAAAGTAACCTTGACACACAGGGACCGGTGTGGAATTCGTAAACACCTCTCCGCTGACTCCTGTCCCGCTGCTCCGCGCCACCGCTGGTCTGCTGTGACCGATCTGACCAATACAGCACGCACGTGCCATGGTGACCGGCGTGGTGACGTCACCATCCGGCCTGTGACGTCACCGGCCCGGCGCTGCGGGCGCTCGCTGCTCGCAGCTGTCTGGTCGAGCCCTGCCGACAGTCAGCGACCCGGGCGCGGAGCGGGCAGGAATTACGCTGCGCTGCTGCTGCGCTGGCTGCGGCGGCGGGCGACTGTGAACGTGGTAGAGAGGTGTGATTTACAGACCAGCCAGACACCGTGTAACGTTTTGTCGCTGCCTGGTGTCGTGACCTCTCAGTGGACGCCGGTGAAAACAGGGCGCCGGAGGGCATATTAGTCACGTGATATTTGGGACTTCTCCCCTTCCCTGGGCCTTCTATATGCCAAACGTCACGTGTAAATTTCACGAACCTTGATCAAATTGCCTCAGGCGCCCTGTTTTCACCGTCGTCCCTCTCAGTGACACCGGTACAAGACGGGGCAGTGACTTCTCGCGTGTCTTCCGTGAGTGATTCAGTGAGGCTCAGGCTGTGGCGTTAGTTCTGGTTGAATCCGGTGAGGTTACGTGCGGGGGAATCGCGGAGGCTTTGAGTGACTGTGGTGGAGTGATGTAGGCGTGGCGTCAGTGGCCCGAGGAGTGACGCCACGTCAGCAAACGGTGTGACGTTACGTCAGAAGGCATTGTGTGTGGCACGTCAAACGGAAAGAGTGGTATTGGGGGCTGCAACTGTGCTGAGTGAGGGGAAGACTGCTGAGGTAGATCAGATCTGGTGCGCGACCCGCGCAGCTGATTTGTAAATCGGTGAAAGTTATCCTCCCTGGAATCGGATAAACGGGTGAAACGTGAACTGTGAAACCGTTGAGCGAAGGTTGAAGAGTCGTTTCCACTAGCACCAGACTGGCAGGGATCTGAGCAGAGGCTTGTTCACAATAAGCTGGGAACAAATCCAATCTAAACCAGCCCGTGGAAGTTTGGTAATTACCCGATAAGCGGAGATCGTAGTGTCTATCCTGTAAAGCTCTCAGTTGTCGTTCCTGAGCAGCGGTATAGTCCGCGACCTTGACCTCTGCTCACTGACCTGTCAGTGGTCCCCGCCCCCTCCCCGACGCTCGCGCTGTACCCTGTCAGCCATGCCGGCGGCTCTGGACCCTGCCAGCGGCGCGCCCATGCCTGGGTCAGTGTTGCGACCTGACCCGGAGGAGAGTGACCGTCCGGACCGCCAACTGCTGCACTCGCCCGGCCCGGAGCCGGAGCCGGAGACATGGGAGCCGGCCGGACTCCCCGGAGATGTCAAACACGTGCCCTTTGGCGGCCTGACGCTGGCC